CCAATGGGGACAGATGCAGTGCATTTGGTGAAGTGTTTGGCACATAGTAGGTGGTCAATCAAGTGTCCATCGTGACTCTCGCTCTAAAATTGTGTCCAGAGTCATAATAAGTAAGTGAGCCACTGGGCATGATGGTGTGAATAAAGTATCCAGGCTTTTTTTTTTTTTTAAATATATTTCATTATTGATTTCAGAGAGGAAGGGAGAAGGAGAGAGAGATAGAAACACGAGTGATGAGAGAGAATCATTGATGGGCTGCCTCCCGCACGTCCCCACTGGGGATCGAGCCCACAACCCAGGCATGTGCCCTTGGCCGGAATCAAACCTGAACCCTTCAGTCCGCGGCCTGATGCTCTATCCACTAAGCCAAGCTGGCTAGGGTGTATCCAGGCTTTTTAAAAAAAATTATTGGGGTGACATTGGGTATAAAGTTCCCAGGCTTTTAAAAAATATATATATTTATTGATTTCAGAGAGGAATGGAGAGGGAGGAGGGAGAGAAACATCAATGATGAGAGAGAATCACCGACCATCTGCCTCCTGCACGCCCCACACTGGGGATGGAGCCCACAACCCGGGCATGTGCCCCGACCGGGAATTGAACCGTGATCTCCTGCTTCATAGGTCGATGCTCAACCACTGAGCCACGCCAGCCGGGCAAGTTCCCAGGCTTTGATGCATATACATCGTGACACTATTTTGGTAGCTCAGGTGCTGCTTGGGGTTGCTTGCATACTTGTAGCTGTGTTTGTCTAAGATGAGTCCCAGGTAATGAGAGGAAATGCTGAACAGTAATGACTGCCATTCACTTTGAGGGCTTCACGGAGGAGTGTCTAACCTGGAAGGAAAAGCTCTGGCAGCTTCGCCAAAGGTGTGGAGCATATATTTCGAGGTCCAGGCTGTTGCACCCTCGTTATCGAGGTGGACGATCCGGACGCATGCATGTTCCCCACAGCTGTGTGTCGGGGGCCAAGCACCCGAAATCTCACAGGCTTGAGCCACAGTGTAGGTCATGTCATTTA